AGCAGATGAGTGAGACCTAAAAGACAAACGGGGGGGGGGGGGGACATAAAATACAGAATAGTATTAAATAAAGAGGACCCAGTTCCTGCATGTATTCACGTGCCCTGCCATTCCCGTTTGCCGTTTAATACGCCATCATCTGCATCTGCTCCTGCTTCTGCATAGGATTCTAAAGGCATCTTTCTCAATAGACATAGACATATCTGAACGGGCATCAACAATGCTCTCAATATCTTATGAAGAATTTTAATTTCATTTACTAACCTATTCTCCTTTTTTTTTATCAAGTTACTAACGTATTATTACGAGATATAATCCGAGTTACTAATAGATGCTTATAAAATATGGATGTAGGTATTTCTTTCAACTACCGTGCGTCATACATCACTTAAGAACAATGGATATTAGCTGTATTGATACTGATTTTTATTTGGATACGGATAGTTTAGACTTTATAATTTTCTTAAAGATTTTGGTCTTTCTAAAAAAAAATCATACATCACTTATTTAGAAATAGTATCATTTAGTAAATCAGTGGATTTTTGTTGAAAAGTTTTAATAGAAGTAGTTTATAGTGCCCTTTTTTATCATAAGAATTTACGACAAATATATAAATATGAATCTAAAAACCAGCTTTGTATAGATTATCTTATGTTACATTATATAATATTCGAACTATACACGTTTTCATCCCATCCCGAGTCTTAATGCTCATGTTTCATTTAATTTATGCATAAGGGGTGGCTATAACATGGGCTAGATGCTTCGTTTTATTGTGTTTGGACAAAATGTCAGTGATGTTTTGGAATTTTATAGTAATATTGTCTTTGTCTTTGCCATTTTATCAATAAATTCATTTTTTTTACATATATAAAATAACACTCATTAACAGTCAATTATTATGCAAAAATAAACAAAAAAAAGATGAAATGCATACGCGTGTTTACACGGCAGATTTTGAGTAAAATATACTAGTCTTGCAATTTCAGTATTGCTAGATATAATATATGGATCGATAAGAACAAAACATATATTGCTAGCACTACTATATTTTCTTTTATTTAACGAGGGAAATTATTGTAGCTATATTTATTTTCTAGGGGAATATCATCTAAACTTTTTTGTCGGAAAAAGAACTGGACCGCGATTCAAAAATATCATTGAAATATCAATTGTTTTATATATTTCACAACTATATTCCGAATAATTAGAGAATGGTTCCAATATTCTGAATTAAGCGAATAGAACAAAAAAAGAAAAAAAATTATTTAGCATTCTATTTTATTTTTGTAATTTGCATCATTTTATGTTAAATACTGTAACCTGTTAAAGATTAATATTAACCACGGATAGCTTAGCTTTCCTTGTTAGAAAAAAAAACCTTTGCTCGCTTTGGTCTGTATTTAGTTGTTTTTGTCAAGTTATATGTAACCTAGCTATTCCGTTTAGCTTTTGCCGTCATCGGATCTGTAAATAAGAAGTCAGTTGAGTAAATTTTGATTAGGTGTCACTCATAAGTAAAATTTAGAATTAATTCTTTTAATTTGATTGGTTGATAGTATTTCAATTTTGATTTGTTTAATTAATTTTTTTTTTTAAAAACTAATCCTAGAATTACCTTATCCAATACTATATGTTACCAAACAAATAATTAAACATTTTTAATATAGATGATTTAACATAATTTATTTATATAAATAATTAAATATCATAGATTACATTATATAATTTTTTACATTATATAATTTATAATACACATATAAATACATATGATACTACAAAAAACAATTCTATAAATGGTTTGAAAGATATGTATATTAGTACTGGATACAATAAATAACAGATATCAGCAAATTAAATAATCTAAATCTTATAATATTTCAACTCACTATATATATATATATATATAGATGTATGAAAAATAGTCAAATATATAATTTTAAAAATTCCAATAATTTTCAAGGAAAAAGTGATATTATTGTTGAGGCGTCACTTTTAAAAATGATTAAATCCTACTATATATTAACCATCCTACATATTAATTGAGAAATCATTTAATTTTATTTTAATGATATATCATTCATAGAAGAGCTCTTCGATTAATTGTTTTAATTTGCTTGGTTGATAGTTTTTTTATTTTTGATTTACTTAATTCAATTTCAAAAACTAAATCAATAGCTAACTTATATCAATAATCAAACAAATCATATTTAACATAAATAATAATGACACATATGTACTTAAGGAAAATTGTGTTATCAATGCTCGGATTTGTGTCATAAATTATTTTGTGTGTATAAGAAACTTAAACATTTTAAATGATTTTTTTAATAAAAAGAGATTGTAAAAGTTTCCTTGTATGTTATATATTACTAACCACTGATTATATTTTATTTTTAAAACATGTATATAATTGAATTTTACAGTAAAGTTTAAACTAATTTTATAAATTAAATAAAATACTTTTTCATCAGCAAATATGTGAAAAGCTATATCGACTGTAAAAACAAATATTTTTTAAACATATTTAAAATAACTTGTTTAGTAAATTTTTGTAAAAAAATTATTTTGCATGTTATTTAGGTAACTAAAAATAAAATAATTTTAGTAGCTCATTGTTTTTTTGTTATTTTGTGTATCTTATAGATAATCACATACAAAAAAATATGAATAATAATTTAGATCTAACTTACAAACCATATCAATTATGTATGTGTAGTGTGTCTAACTGTTTTCATTTATCTGAATTACTTAACTGAAAGTTGTTCACCGAAATTGTTTGGTTATTTAGACTAGTTTTGTTTTTTAACGTTAAATAACTCACATGATGCTTCCAAGTCATATAAGCCGAAGAAATTATTTTGAAATATCAGCAATTATTATCATGTACATATAAGCTTAAGAAAATATTGTTTTCTGATATCGTACATATATTATTTTGAGAAATATTATTAGATGTAGAAATGTAATGTAATATTAGATTGAATGATATTCATAAATCTTTATTATATGAGGTATTAATTAGGAAATGGCATTATGAGCATACATTAATAACTTCTTAATGTTTTTACTATAGTTGCACATAAAATCTAATAAAATATTAAAAAATTTATCTTATATTTTAAGAAGTCATAAAATAATGAAAATAATATATATATATATATATATATATATTTACTTCTTTAGAATATATATAACCAAAAAATCATATTAATTTTGAAAATGAAATATTATATTGTCTAAACATAACAATATTATTTTAGATTAAGTTTTAAGAACTATCTGTATCAACGAATTTACGGGTAACCACCTAATCCTCGTGTATATTTGATAAGTCATTCAAGTGATTTATATTTATGTGTTTCTCAAAGAAGAGTTTTCAAATAATTTGTCTTAATTTGATTGGTAATTTTTGGAACCAATTAATTTCATTTTCCAATGATCCAAATAAAATAAAACATAATGATTTATAAAAACTAACTTTGAAAAATCAAGTGAGTATAACAAATATAATTATAATCAAAAATCAATAAGATATAATAAATTATTTTCATATATAAAGAATTAAAATGAAAATTTGTTATATTAGAAATTCATATAAATTTATATTTAACATTTTAGTTTCAAATAAAACTAACATTTGATTTTGAATAATTAAAAAGTATTTAATTTTCATCAAAATATAGTATACCTGCAAAATTGCGGACAACCACCTAACTTTGATGAAATAAATAGTCTTTTTTATAAAAAAAATATTAACCTCGGATAGACTAACAATGCAGACGAAAATCAGAAAAACATGGTTAATATATTATAAAAATAATCCATTAATTAGCTTAATATTAACCTCGGATATTTTTTTAATATATTTTATATTTATATCCCTATAAATGAATAAGACAGCAATATAAAAAGAGAGACCAAATGGAGAGAGAAAAGTTAGGTTTCGATGTGAATATAGCTAATTAGTGAAAGAAAACAAGAAAAGTAAGAAGAAGAAAAAAGAAACATGTTTGATGGTGGAGTACCGGAACAGATCCACCACTTCATAGCATCTCCACAGCCACCTCCTCCGCTTCCGCCGCATCAACCGGCGACTGAAAGATCACTTCCTTTTCCTGTCTCATTCGCTTCTCTTCACTCCAACCATCAATCACAGCATATCTCGAGCCTCCACAGCCCTAAGATCATTCACCATCATTATCACCATGGCATCAAAGATGATGGTGTTACTTCTGAGTGGATAGATCATACGGATCATGATGGCGAGAATCATCGTCACTTTCATCATCATCCTTGGTGTAGTGATGAAGTTCTTGCTCTTCTTAGGTTCAGATCTACGGTGGAGAATTGGTTCCCTGAATTTACTTGGGAGCTCACCTCAAGGTAATACATATTCACATATACACATATATATGCATCAACAAATATTTATATATTTTCATATATGCATATGGACATGAACATTAGTCTCTTTAGTGTTTTATTACATTAAGTTTGATTACGAATTTTAACGCAATATGATTTGATATACTATAGATCTTGTTTTTGCCGAACAATCACTTTTGCAGTATTTAATTTTACTGTTGGCAAATGATTGACCATTAATACATATTTATACATAATTGGCATTTCTCGAGAAGTTTGATGAACTGAAACTATGAACTTAAATGGATATATTGTTTGTCTGACAAAAAAAATGTGGATATATTATTTAGGGGAAAACTAGAAATGGTTATATGGTTGTATATTTTTGGTATGAGTGTATGTATATTCGCATAATTAATGATGCGTTATGATGTCGTTTATGAAATTTATGATGGCTGTAGAAAGTTGGCAGAAGTTGGGTTTAAGAGGAGTCCACAAGAATGCAAAGAGAAATTCGAAGAAGAAGAGAGGAGATATTTTAATAGTAACAACAACGCTAATGATCATCACATCAGCAATTACAACAACAAAGGAAATTATAATAGGATATTTAGTGAGGTTGAAGAGTTGTATCATCATGGTCATAATGATAATGAGCATGTCGTCTCATCTGAAGTTGGGGATAACCAAAACAAGAGGAACAATTTGGTAGAGGGAAAAGGAACCGTTGAGGAAATGGGACAAGACTTATTGGAGGAGGACAAAAGGGACCATCAGGATCAGGGTCAAGTAGAAGAATCATCACTGGGGAATAAAACAAACCCCGTTGATAATGTTAATAACTTTGAAGATGGTGCAAAGTCATCATCATCATCAAGCTTGATGATGATCATGAGAGACAAGAAGAAGAGGAAGAGGAAGAAAAAGAAGGAGAGGTTTGCTGTGTTGAAAGGGTTTTGTGAGGGACTTGTGAGGAACATGATATCCCAACAAGAGGAGATGCATAAGAAGCTTCTTGAAGATATGGTGAAGAAGGAAGAAGAAAAAATGGCTAGAGAGGAAGTTTGGAAGGAGAAAGAGATGGAGAGGCTTAACAAAGAGGTAGAGATTAGAGCAACCGAACAAGCTATGGCTAGTGATAGAAACACCATCATCATCAAGTTCATATCCAAGTTCACAGACCATGATAACCATGATGATGGGAATTATAAGGTCCAAAGCCTAAGCCCTTCTCAAGACTCATCTTACTTAGTGCTACCAAAAACCCAAAGCAGAAGAAAGTGTCAAACCTCATCATCACTATTACCTCAAACCCTAACTCCACATAACCCTATTTCACTTCAAACTAATGACACACCACTTGAACCCATTTCAACTAAAACCCTAAAAACCAAAACCCAAAACACAAAACCTACAAAAAGTGATATTGGCAAGAGATGGCCTAGGGATGAGGTGTTAGCTCTTATCAACATCAGACGCAGTATCAGTAGCATGAATGATGCTGATCATCATAAAGATGTGATCTCATTATCATCATCATCATCATCCTCAAAATCTATTCCTCTGTGGGAAAGAATATCAAAGAAAATGTTGGAGATTGGGTACAAGAGAAGTGCCAAGAGATGCAAAGAGAAATGGGAAAACATCAATAAATATTTTAAGAAGACAAAAGATGTAACCAAGAAGAGACCACTTGACTCAAGGACTTGTCCTTATTTTCACCAACTTACAGCTTTGTACAGCCAACCCTCCTCTGGGACCACCACCACCGCCACCGCCACCGCCACCTACACGTCACCCGTAGAGCTGGAAACCCGACCCGAGGAAAACGGGGTTGGATCGGGAGATCCAGTTGATATTCCTGTAGCCATGCATGTAGATGCATATAGTGCCGGGGAAAAAAGCAGTGTAAAATTTTCAGGTTTTGATCTTGCGTTCGAATAAACCTCAATACAATAAAATGATAAATATATAAATATATTACCAGTTTAATTCCCTTTTCTTGTTTTTTTTTTCTTTTTGAAACCTCATTTTTGGTTATCATGAAAAAATTAAATAATATATATATATATATATATGAATAATTATCATTTACTGTTTTGACGCATCTATGGAAACGTACACTTACTATTTTAGTTGGACAGTACTCGTGCACCGACAAACCGTGAAATTTAGTTGAACTTGAATAAACTATGGGTTAAATTCTAGTTCTGGCTTTTTATGAATAAATTCACACATGTGACGAGATAAGGTTTTTCAATAAGAGATGTTGAGAACAAAAAAAACTGTATACGTGAATTCTTCTTATGGAAACTTCATTCGAATCAACTTGTACGTTTTTTTTTCCGGAGCCTAAAGGTGGAGAGCAAAGTAGATGATGGGTGGCCGGATGAAAAACTCTGCTTGGTCTACAAAATTTAAAACTTATTATACATCTGTTCCATGGTCCCTGGCCAAATTATCAATTTTTTTATTTATTAAAATTAACCGAAAAATGCTTATGGTTCTCTAAATTTTATATCCGTCATGAGAAATGAAATTTCAGAATTGCGACAAGTTAATTATGTCTCATTTTAATTCAAATCAAAGTGGAGGCAGTTAATCAAAGAGAATACACGTGGTTTCAGCCATGGTTAATAATGATCAAAATATCAGAGATTTCGAAAGAAATTTGACCAAAAAATATTTGTCTATTTTGTTTCAAAAGTGTTGTCTTAATTTCACATGTGATATGGTATAGTTTTAATGTACGTAATGTCTTGTTGTATTCTTGTTTTGTAGGATAACGATAAAAGATGATTCATGTCATGTTTTTCTTTTCAACTTCTATTTACAGCACACAATTTGAAATGTTAACTGTGAAGTGTTTTAAATTTATGTGCGCCTGTAAAAGTTAACGTTCGTTGGTACATTAATTACACCTTTTAGGGATAGAAAAATTATCATTTTTAGAATAAGAATGTTTTTTCTAAAAAGAAAAATAAATCTTGGGAGTTTCCTCACATATTCCTACCCAAAAAAAAAAAGGAAAAAGAAATCGCATTTGATGCTTCTATAAATACGGATCTAAGAAAAAAATCTGGATATAAGAGATTGTAAATTATTATTTCGCATAATCAATATACTAACTATAAATATTTTTGCCTTAATTTCTTTTTTTCAAAGTTAATTCGAGTTTCTTAACAACAGAAGAAACATAAGACTTATCTCATCTTGACATATATTTTCACTTACAATCACTTTGATACAATTTTTAGTGAATATTGTTAGCTTGTATTCACATAACTGTCAGACATTTTACTATAGATTTGCGATTGACTTTAGCAATCATCACTAGCTAGTTAGTCTCTGTTTTGTTTCTAAATATTGTTACAGTTACAATCTGTAGCTAATGTCATAACAAAAGACCCATAAATTGGTCGAATTATAACCATATATGATGATGATAATATACTATATTATGATAACCATACATCACAATGTAAATAGAACTCTAAAAAAAAGAGTTAACAAGTTGAATGTGTTCACATTTCACAGTTCTTACACACTGTATTACTTAGCTGTGATCCGTTGTTGTTTTGTGGAACAGTAGACTTGTTAGGAACCTCGAAGCTCAATGATAGAGACGGCACTGACTGTTAGAGATATTAGACATATGTAGAAATATTCTATTAAATTGTAATCAAAGTCGTAGTATGATTTATATATATCCACAAACCACAAACCACAACACGTAATTCAATAATTCATACACCTAACAAAGAATTGAAACAAAAGAAAAAAAAACAATTATTCTTAATGCACGACCGACGAGAAGTATACTATCCAATAATCAGTATGCATAGACAACTTGAGCTTTTTTTCCTGTTGCCGAAAGGTGTCTCATAGTGTAATGGATTTGTTTGTTTTTTTGTGTGTGTTTTCCCTGTTTCAATATCAATCCTTTTTGATATTTGATGTTATTGTTAATTGAATTTCAAAATAACTATGAAAATTAGAAGAGGTTATGGATTGAAGGTGCATAACTCTGATTTTTTTTCTTAAATTTGGATTTTCCTCTTTTTATCTGGTGAAACATGGAGGACTGCATAGTTAATTAGTACAAGTAAACAACATAACATAATACTGATAAGACTGCATTCACCAAATGGTTACCTTAATACCCTTGCCGGAATCTCTCCACCGTCCGATCACGGCTCCATCAGACATGCATATGGGGTTTCATTGGCTTGAGATAGTGCGAATTATTATTTTTAAAGTCATTTTGTGGGCAATTCTCTTAAATAGCATTTTTAAGTTTTTATTACAAAAATAGATCTCAAAAATTAAACTGACCAAAGTATCACTTTTAATTTTGAAATTTTTAAGTTTTTCTTTTAATTTTTAAAATTTGAAACTCTATCCTCAAAACCTCACTTCTCAACTCTAAACAAAAAAGTTTAGGATTAGTTAACCCAAGAACTAAAAATTTATATTTAATAAAACATTTAAGTATTACTTTGGTCATTTTAATTGTTAAGGTCTATATTTATGATAATGTTTTTTAGGTTTATTCTAGTCATTTTCTCTTTTGTCTATTTGTAATTGGCTGACTAGACACCGTCCAGATTAGTTTTTAAAACAATGGATATTAGCTTGTATCGATACTGATTTTTATTTGGATACAAATAGTTCAGACTTCATAACCTTTTTCAAAGATTTTGGCTTTGTTTTGGATTTGATTTTTATCAGGTTTTGGATTGGTTATGTTTCAAATATTTGAAATAATTTGTTTAAATTTGAGCACAAACAAATAATAATTAATTTTCATAATTTCCTTTTCATTTTTCTCTTCTCTGCAATAGAGCAATGTCACTGTTTACCTAGCGATAAACTGACCAATTATTTAAGAAAATGTCATATTTTTATAGTGAGAATATGGGGGCCGGTTTCATTCACTTGAGATAATGAGAATTATTGTTTTAAAATTCATTATGTTTATGTGTAATTTTCTGACTAGTCGATCATCTAGATAGTTTTCAGAACAATGGATATTATAGCATGTATTGATACTGATTTTTATATGTAGATAGTTTTTAGAACAATGGATATTATAGCATGTATTGATGCTGATTTTTTATATCTAGATAGTTTTTAGAACAATGTATATTATAGCATGTATTGATACTGATTTTTATTTGGATACAGATATTTTTAGATTTCATAAATTTTTTTAAAGATTTTGTTTTTTGTTTTAGATTGGTTTTTATCAGGTGTTGGATTGTTTTTCCAAATATTTGAACTAATTTGTTTTAATCTGAGCACAAAAAAGAAGAAAATAATTAATTTTCATGATTTCCTTTTTCATTTTTTAAGCATGTATTGATACTGATTTTTATATCTAGATAGTTTTTAGAACAATGGATATTATAGCATGTATTGATACTTATTTTTATTTGGATACAGATATTTTTAGACTTCATAACTTTTTTAAAGATTTTGGTTTTGTTTTAGATTGGTTTTTATCAGGTATTGGATTGTTTTTTTTTCAAATATTTGAACTAATTTGTTTAAATTTGAGCACAAAAAGGGAAAATAATTAATTTTCATGATTTCCTTTTCATTTTCCCCTTCTCTGCAATAGAGCAATATTAACTGTTTCCCTAACAATAAATTGACCAATTAATTAAGAAAACGTCAATACTATTATACTGTTACAAAATTACTCTAGGCGTAATATTAAAACAAGAGTTTATTTCATAAAAATGCAGTTGTTGAGTTTTTATATCATAAAAAGACAGTTATTGCTATAGAGGCAGTTTTTTCTAACCAAATGAAAACTAGAGTTACTTGTTTAGTTACTGGTTTAAGTTAGCAGTTAAAAAAAAAAAAATAGATCTAACATTTTCTTCTCTGAAGAATTTATTCTTCTCGTGATTCATCACCATGTATCATCTTTTTGGAGCTACAAGCACCGTAGCCAAGCTTCTTCCTCCATTTTTATTCTATAACATATCTCTGCTATTGGAATGAACTCTCCTCTTCGCTGCAACAGGTTCAGATAGACGCAATCCTTACGGCGTAATCGTTATGCTCGAATCCATACGGGTTGATGCTGGACAAAGAAGACCTATGGGATTTTGGTTATAATCTGTCAAAACTTAAAAAATCTGAGAAATTTTGTTTTTCGTTTGTTTTTTGGATCTAATTGATTACAATATTTTTAAGTTTCTGAGATAAAAAATGAAGATTGCATGAAGAAAAATCAATGGTGGCTCTGAGGTTGAGTTGCAGAAACGCAGGATACCCTAATAGGAAGAAGATGACTTAATTACAAGATTGCCACTCGTTTTAAAAAAATATGTACAATTATATGTGTACATGTGTACATCTTCACATATGTACACTTTATTATTAAAACAATGTACACTCGTCATATGTGTACATTATTTATTATTAAAGCAAAAACCAAAATTTACATGTGTACAATTATATGTCTGCATGTGTACATCATCACATATGTACTCTTTATTATTAAAATAATGTACCATTACCATGTATACATGTGTACGTCTTCACAAGTTTATGTATTTCGTAAATATATACATTGATGTGTCCACCTACTCACATTTCCACTTCCAAAACTTCAGTCTCATATGTACATAGATATTAGATACCAAAATATACACATGTATATTGATGTGTACATACAAAACTACTCATGTGTACATAAACAAAATCTCATGTTGGTTTTACGTGAATTAAACAACATGAATATATATGTATATGTGTATATGATTGCATGTGTACAAACCCAATATGAGATTTTGTTTATGTACACATAAGTAGTTTTGTATGTACATGTTGATGTACATGTGTATATTTCGGTATCTAATATCTATGTACGTATGACTAGTTTTTTTGTATATGTATGTTCTATGATTTTTAACTATAAGAAACAAATATAACACATATGTACATGTACACCAGAGGCGGAGATTAGGGTTTCTGGTCGACAATCTTGTGTGCATTACATTTAAATTGTACATGTGTACACCTAATTTCGTGTT